ACCTCGAATCACTCCAAATGGCTACCGCGAGGTTGTCAATATTGTGGATTTCAGAGCATCAGCGACCTAGAATGCCGTGGGCTTTATACAGTGACCCCACAATTGCCCAAGAGGAGGAGCTGCACTTCTCACGACATGCTGGAGATGCCGATGTCCGCGCACGCAGCGGGCGCCTGCCCAAGTGTCCATGGAGCCAACCCGTAGGCCCAAACAGCAGAGTCGCTTGGGGAGTATGTGGGAAAGCTAGTTTCAAGCGGAGTATATTACAATGCTGGCTGTTCGATTGTCGGCTGTATCTCGTGATCCTCAGGATAACTGCTTTGGTAGTTTCTCAAGAGGTTAGACTGGGTAATCGTTTCACTCCACCGAAACCCTGACCAAAGATTGATATTGCTAGAATTCAGAGTACTGAGCCCTTGCGTACTTGGACCCCTGAGGTGAACCCAGCGCAAGCCTCACTTTCCCCAGCCCTTGGCAATCTGCATCAGATAGGATGGCAGGCGGGGATCAAAAAACAACAGCCAGACACATGAACCTGACAGCTGTTTGGATTTTAATCCAGGACGCCAAAAACCTCAAGGCCCCAAATTCGCTACCAAGCTCTACATCATATTACATCATAACACGATCACCTAAGGTTGCAGTGCCAATTCTATGGCAGTACTGAAATTAAAATGCAAATGGACAGGCTTGAGTCTGCAGATACATGTTCTATTTTTCACTTTGTCGTGTACCCGTACGCAAGATTAAAACCACATGATGCTAAACCCCAGACTTATGAATCCAGATGCCTCTGAGAGTCGAGGCGTCGCAGCTGACTCGGAGAGCAACCATGGTGTCCATGTATCTTGGCTGTTCTTGCTACCATTACTCAAATGATTGTGATGGTTCTTGTTACTGTACTTGTTACTAGTACCATTACTAAGAGGATCATGGCAATTCGTACTACTTTGACTGCCACGTTGTTGCACAGGGGGGTTCAGGTTATAAACTGTCTCAGAGGGCTGCTTAGAATCTCACAGGCCCTTTCGCTGAGCCCTGAGCCTTCAGGCCCTGAGGTTTTCGCTCGGCTCTTGCCAGCATTTCCTTCCCCTTCATGCGCCTTTCCCGTCGGCCTTCTCTTGGGTCAGTCAAGCCGCTGCAGCCTCCTCCGTGCACTGCCCTGCTTGGCGTGGCCTTCGTACTCCTGCCTGCTATTTGGCTCGGCCTTGTACTCTATTTTGGGGCTGCGGCTGTGGCGGTCCACTGTGACTTGTCCCGGTCGGACTTTTGTTGCAATAAGTCCAATGTACCAGCAGTCAGCTCAACTTCGCGCTTGAATTAAAGACGGAAGCCTAGCGTGCGTCCGCCTCGGTAGCTGGGCTTGCAGAACAGGCAGTGCAATCCCGGGTGGGGTGGCGGGGGAGGGTAAACCCTACAAAGCCAAATCCTGAAAGGCCTAAGTGCCCTAAGCCTAGCCTTCCTAGTCTTCCCAAAGTGGCCTAGGCACGAGGCCACCGTCCGCAGGGCTGGGGAGGACCCTCGGTTTTACTGCTTTGGATGTTGACCGTAGCATGGTGGAGGGTTTAGCGTTTAGCCCTTAAGGTGCATCCAGCTGACTGCAGAGTCCAGGGTTTAGGGCGTGCAGGGTTTAGGGATGTTTAGGGTTTGAGGTGTGTACGCCTCAGGATTTGTAAAGTGCAGAGGGGGTCACAGTAAAGGCTATGCTAGACACGGACGCAGCATCCTCACTTTCATGCTATTGTCATCTACGGTCTTAGTAATCTGCTTCAGTTTGGATTCATGGTTTCTGCCGGAAAAACACCAATTGCGAGAAAGGGGGCACAATGTCAGGATTTCAAATGTGCTGCTGGTGCTGCTGCTGGTGCTGGTGCTGACTTGTTTTGGAGCGTGTTACCACCAAGCCAGATTCGACTTTGCACCTTTTTTTTAGTCCAGCGCATGAAGGAGGAGCAATGCCCCTGAATACAGCTTTTACAGCGGAAGGCTGGCATAATGGGTTGCTCACATTTATTTTGCCTGCCCAGCCCTGCTCTTAGAGGAGATCCTCTCCAATGTGGACCTGGACGTTCCTAGTGGCGCTCGAGCCGTGGTTGTTGGGCCCAACGGTTGTGGCAAGACTACACTGCTACTTGGTTGTGGCCTTGGAACTGAAGACTATGGAAACCTCCCTGGCTCCGTGCCATCTGAAATAATGGGCTTGCGTGTCCTGGGCTCTGCGGATTCTACCATGTGACCTGTGATCCTGGTTTGTATTCAAAACTATCTACGTGATGTGCTTCTCATTCTCTGCCACTGGGACTAAGGCTCACCACAATTGCGGCGCAGGATCCAGTGGAAGGCCAAGTGATTGGTTTTGTGTTCCACGCTGTCCATTTAGAGTGTTGCCTTGGTGAAACTAGTTAATAGTTTGTTCACCAACCTGGCCGTACTTCGGGCATTGGAAGTGTTCTACGTAGCCCACTTTATCTGCCAGCGCACAGACGCTAAGTGCTGAAACCTGCGCTTGTCAGGAAGATGCTTTGTGGCATGATGGGTTCCGAATAGCAAGGTAAACCGACACCTCCGCAACCGCACCGATGCCAAGGTCACTTGCACGGGCGTTGACTCCTCCAACCCAAAATGCATAAGCCCCCGGATAACTTATACTGTAGCACTTGGGTCCATCTAACGTCAGCGTTGTAGTAGTTGTGCTGTGGAACCTCCTAGCATGCTCTCAAGGTGGCTACATGGATGTGAGAGCTGCCTCTGTCGGCTGGCTCCGGCAAGAAGCCATCGGCGGGTCCAAGAAGACCGTATACCAAGAAGCAGTGTCGCAGATGCCAGCATCTTTCTTGCACTGCGCAGAACCTCTGAGTGCTGTGCTGCCCCGCAGAACAATGCTTGCGTCCTGATCTGCAAGCCAAGACCATGCAACCTGAGGCAATGCTGGCAAAGGCAGAGATGGAGGCTGCAGAGAAGCTTTGTTGAATTAAGGCGCATGCAAGGTGGGACTGGCCGTAAGATCCGGAGAATTGAATGTTGCGAGGGTCCCAGTTAAGCCCCGGAAAGGTGGTTTCGGGTCCCCACTGATTATTTTGCATAATTTCAAAACTTACCCGAAAAAGTTGGCTCTAGTCCATCACCTTTTCATTGCTCGGGAAAAGGGGTCGTTCGGCTTTGTCCTCTCCAATAATCGCTATTCCACGTTACATCTGGAGCCAGCCTAAGGTCGTCACTTGGCCAGCTATGCGGTTCGTGGGCAGAAACAAATTTAATAGCCTTGAACTTGGGCTTAACTTACTCTACAGAATCAAGAGCTGAAGCTCCCACTCCTGCCATGAGCCGCAGAGCTAGTAACATTAAGCGTGTAGCCAATCCAGACGCCAACGTCAAAATCCATTCTGGGTCAAGAGTTCAGCATTACAAGTGTGACGCCCCCCCGCACTTCAAGTGTCCTCGTGCGCCCAAGGCCCAATGGCTTCATGCATTTAGCACAATGGACGACTGGCTTCCCGAAACCCTCCAAACCTAAAGTTTTAGGGTTCAGGGTTTAGGGGATGAAAACACAAGATCCAAACTCAAACCTTGAAATTTGCGAATCGGCTCTCGGAATAGCCAGCACCATAATGCCTGCTATAAGAATTGGTATTATATTGGGTGCAGTGATTGAAGTACTGAACTTAATATTTTCTTTTCCATTATCGTAGGGGCTCAAAGGATTGCAGCAAAATCAGATTTCTGAGGCAAGTTCTGTCTAGATGCATCCTTAAACCCTTTTCCTGCAAACCCTTCTCGACCCCGGACACCTACAGGAAACCCCAAACCCGACGCGCCAAGCCCTGAACCCCAAACCCTACACCGCAAACCCTAGACCCTAAACCCCCAACCCTAAACCCCACACCCCAAGCCCTTAACCCTGAGCATTACCAAAAACCTACACTCTAGACCCTAAACCCTAAGCCTGAACCGCCTTAACATCCCTCGCGCATTGTTCCATATCAGGAAAGCGCTGAGTGAGGCCAGCGAGTCTGAGGCTGTGAAGAAGCAGGCAGCCTACGAGGAGGCCGAGAAGCAGTTACATGCCCTGCTGTTCTTTCTTGTTAGTATTATGATTGTTATTGCTATGATTGCTATTATTGACGCTTTCAGCATTAGTATTCTCGTTATTACTACCGTTATGACTGTTACTATAGTTATGTTTATCATTGTTTTTATGGTAACTACTATTATTGCTGTTACTGGTATCACTGTTGCTGTTGGGCGAGGGCCTAGGATCTAAGGTCTAGGGTTGACATGTTTACGGTTAAGGCTGTTTCGAGCTCGGTGTCCGGGGTTAAGCTTTGATTTCAACTGACTTTAATTTGTCTTCCCGATCTACCTCTCTCGCAGTCCTTTGAAGGGAATGTCTTGTGTGGTGACGCCATTGTCAAGGCGCACTTGAGCATCTATGTGTGGTTGGAAGTGGGGCCTTTACGGACTTCATGCGTGCCATATGTGAGTTGTTCGTTGCCTAGTGAAGAGTAGGGGTCACATGTGCTGCCGAGTGCTTGGCCCAGCCACAGTAGCCAACAAAAGCTGAAGTACTGTATTTGGTAGGTATTGTGGTATGCTTTACTCCTCCACATCTGATTTTCGTAGTTACAAGTAAAGTGAGGTCAGAAGCAAAGAAAGGCCCACTTGGAGATCACAAAATACTTTATTTGGAAGTACTCAAATCAGGGTACTTGAAGCTAGCATGGCATAGCCATAGCCACAGCTCCCCATGCGTCTCAAATAGCTTATGATTCAGGATGAGGTCAAGCTTGGTGGTCAGGGGCAGTGTTTACAATGGGCAGGCTGCCAGCTACCTTTTACAGCTTTTAGAAAAGGCATGCATTTGCTTCCATCCATATCAGGCAATTTCTAGGTGCACATCCGTCGCAGTACAAACAAGGCGTTCTTCGGCTTTTGATTCTTTTCTCGAGCTGCAAGCCCGTGTGCAGCAGTATGCTGGCAAATCATAGGCCTCAGAGAAAAACATGTTAGTGTGGCAGGCAGTTGGCAGATTCGAAGCAGCTGGTGGCAGAAGCATGCAGAGCAAGATCGAGGATGTTTTGACTGGACTTGGCTTCTCGAGGGCTGCATCCTGGCTCGGTTTGAGCGTTTTGCTGGCTTTTGAGCAGGCTAGCAGGTGGCCTGAGATCATTCACATATTGGATTGCGAAGAGCTGTAAGCAAGAAGATAGAAGTCAATCAGTTGTGCGGCTTCTGCCGCCCAATTGCCGCCAAGCAGCATGCAGGATGTGGAGCCTGTTTGGGTGGTACTGGTGCTAAACTCGAAAGCGGAAACGCAATACAAACCCTGGACATGCCACCTTCAAGCATACAGCCTGCCGATGCACAAATCCTTGACAAGCCTTTTGGCGGCCTGAGATAGTACGATTTCTCTATGGTGTAATTATAGGGATACTGGAAAAGAAAATGAAACTACTATATATGCTATATGGATACACAGAGCAGCTCCAAGCACGGAACGCTTCAATCTTGAGACGCTCCCACTTGCTGAGGACTTTGGCAAATCCTGTTCGGAGCTTTCCGGTGGCTGGCAGATGCGAGCAGCTGCCTCATACCCCATATTCTATCTACTTAAGGGAGACTATAACCCCCTAAACCCATAACCCCAAATAGTAGTTTCCATTTTCTTTTCCATTATCCCAATACAACCCCCATATCTTAGAGTAACATTTCTCTGCGATAGAGGGTTTTGTCGCTGTTGGGGCAGAGAGGTTTTTGGGGTTTGGACGCAGCGCAGGGTGGGAAATTATCTGCTTTGCGCGTCTGGCCCATTCCTCCCGATCCCTCTACAAGTGCTTGACAGTTCTGGGGCAATACTTTAGTCACTTTAGTCTTCTGCCTGTTGGTTGCCAGCTACGTGTTTCATTCTGTGGGGAGTATAGATTGCGCTCTACGTGCCCAAACTAAGATAAGACCAGCAGCACCCTGCAAACCCTATCCTTCCACCTAATGCAAGCCACGGAACTCCAAAACCCAAAAAGCTTCAACCCTCAATCGCTAGGATTCCGAAATGTTGACCCCTACAGGAAACAAAACGTATTTTTGTTTTTGTTGGGAATAGCTCGGATGTTGGCCGCCCTGAGCCATATATAGAACTCTAGAAAGAGTAAAGTAGCACTATAAGAAACATTGAGAAGCTGCTCGAGGGTGGGGCAGTGTCCTCTTCTGCTACAGGCTTGGATTTCATGGTGGAATGTGATTTCGTGTTTTATTGTTCATCGCCATATGGTAGTTTCCCAGTGTCAGGGTTTCCGTCATCTACCCCAGAACATGAGAATCCTTGTTATAGGCCCCCTGAAAGAGTCCACTGGTTTCTCTGATGATTTCATAATTTCATATATCTACATATGAAGTGTAGGATTTTTCGTACCACTGACTGTCCATTCTAGTTTTTGACTCTCTTATGATATCCCAAGCATTGAGTCCCCAAGCCCTAGACACTGTTGAACCAGAAAAACTATACTCATCCAGTTCCCATCGCATTTGCCATGTTGTGTTTTTCTTGTGAGATCCACTTCCCTGTCGGTGAACCCTGAACCCACTCCCTAAACCTTACAGAAAACCCAAAAAGAGGTCTGTTTTCTGTGGAGATGGCTCGGCTGTAAATGCCCTTGCCCATCCTGATCTACCCCTTGCGCCATTGCAGACGAAACAGTCCGCAGGGCAAAACAAGTCTAAACCCTAAAACCCTCATATTATGTACCCTCACATGTCCCTGTATCCCCTCTAAAGGGACCCATACTGAGGTTGCTCTGGCTCGGGCACTGCTACGAGAGCCGGAGCTGTTGTTGCTGGACGAGCCAACGAAGCTGGGGCTTTTTGTATTGTTCTGGGATGTAGGAGTTTATTGTCCTGCTTAGGTATATACCCAAAGCCATATTCTATCTACTTAAGGGAGACGTTTTTGGGCGGATTTGGTGCTTGACGGTTTCAGGGCTCGGGATTTCGGGGCTTCGAGGTTCGAGAATTGCAAGTTTAGAGTCGCTCCTTTGGAGCTTATGATGCAGAATGATGTGGGTGTCTGAGGAGGCTGCGCAGGCTTGTACAAAATCAGTGGGACTGAATACCGACGAACTGCACAAAATGAGTAGCAAGCTGTGTAAGTACGCTTTAAGCAGGGTGTCCCGTTCAAAACTGAGACCATCATGAACCTTAGACTCAGCAGGATGAATTGAAGGTAGTGAAAAGTGTTCCCCAAGCCCAGGAATCACATGGATGCCTCGGCCAAGAACTGGCTGGCCACCTACTTGGCTGCAGGCCGGCCTCAAGGGCTTCAGGGACGTGCTTACGCATACTCAGAGAGAACGTGCTATCAGGATATTTCTCGGGGTTTCAATGGGAATTATGTAGTGCTGCACTTCCCTTGTCCCAAGTAAGCATGCGTATTTTGTCTGTAGGGTTGTGGAGTTCAGGGGTTTCATGTTCTCAGGGATTAGGGCCAGTTTAGCTAAACCAAAAGGCGACCTGGAGCTCAGTTTATTCGAATTACCTGGGCGTGGCAAATGCACAGGAAATTGCTGTCAGAGACCAGGGCCTCAGTGGTGCGTAGTGCAAGCCCAGCATTCTGCAGCTGGCTGGTGTGACCTCTAAGGTCTGCCAGAGACCAGCGACATGACTGAATTGCTTATTTCTGAGTCGGATTGTAGTGTCTGGCAGCCTTATCAAGGTTTTCCAACTTTCAGCTTTCAATTTTTGGGGCTCGCGGCGGGATTAGCGGCAGAGCAAGGCCTTTCAAGCATTGCGTGTTGTTTGGGCTTGGATTCACAAATGTTGTGTTCATGCCAGATGTTTGACAAATTTGAGGCACGCTGCTACTGGTGACGCACGATCGGTCTTTGCTGGAAGAAATGCACTGCTCGCAAGTCTACGAGATTGCAGAAGCCTGGCAGTGTCCTGGGAAGATCGGGCATGATGGGCAGGGACTGCGCACAAAGAAGAGCTGCTTGTTGCTGAAAGTAGAATTACTGGCACCCGCACTGTGCGGTGGCCCGTGCCTCTGACTCAGAACAGAATGCGAGGGTCTCTCGTACCAGGTGGTCCAAAGAGGTGAAGCGGAGCCTCAGGTTCTGGACAACAGCTGAGTTGTGGAGTGCTTGCAACAGGCAGCACGAGAATCCAGAGGCTTGAGGATGTCTGAGGTTAAAGCTGTTGTCCTAAGAAATCTCTTCCGCGCACTGCACAAAAAAAAGGCTTCTCTTGAAGAAGTGCTGCCAGCAGCTAAGGAAAAGCGCATTCTCCGATACGACGTGTCAGGCATAGAGGACTCTTGTCCAGAAAGCGTCGACAAACCCAAACCTCCAACTCCTCGAGCAATGAGTGGCTCTGGAGAAGCGAGGAGAAGAGTTTATACATCCTATAAATGTCTGCGCCCAGGGTGGGGGACGCGGATAATTTCTTATTTTAACTCACGAAGGTCCCCTTTATCCTCAGAGTTGCCTCCGAAAGAATGGATCCTCAATTTGCACACGCGGATGCCAGGCAGGTCTTGCTGATATGCGCTTGTTATGCAAAAATAGGTTGAGGAATCCTTTGCTCATGCATCATCGAAGGAATGGGAGAAGAGTCGCGAAGAGAGACTGGCAAGACTTCAGAAGGAAATGCTCAAAATCGAACGCAACATTGCTGCGGACGAAGATTACGTCAGGAGGTGGGTAGTTTTCGCACTTAAGCATCATCACAGCTTTCACAACTTTTTTGGGCCTGGATTGAACATAATCCCCCATAAGCAAATTTGCTCAAACCTGTTTTGCATTCTTGCAGGGACGCATGCAGCTAGGGCATCTGTCCGTGATTCAAAAAGGTGAATGGAGCAAGAATTGCCCAAAGTGATTGCATGCCTTCCTGTACTAGAGAACGCCGTACACCGTTCACGTTCGAAAGAGACTCAGAGAAATCCTGTGATCTCTGCAATGAATTTCGCTCCTGCTGCCAGATTTGGTGCGAAGTCAAGCCATGCAGCGCAGGCACGGTGAACTGTGAATGCAGGAGGCGTCACCTACTAGCCAATCCCTGTGTCCTAGGCAGGGTTTGGAAGTCTCGGTCGGCAAGATGTTGTGGCAGGAGCCTTTGCAGATCTTTTAATTGGCATGCACGTTTCCGCCAGCTGCCTTGGCTGCTTCTGCCTAAGCACCGACCCCCCGAAACCATCTAGCCCCAAATCCCAAACTCTCGCAGCCGTCGCAGGCGCAGGCTCGGAAGAAACGGATTGCAAAAGCCGAGATTCAGTTGGAAGACCTTCGCGCGCAAACGCGAGGTGCCAGAACAGGATGAGGAATATGAAGTACCTACTTGGAGGTTTGACGGGTAGCTAGAAGTGTTGGGGGATAACTACGCTGCTTCAGATTCTGGCTGTGGTTCTCTGGCTCGTAAAGCCCACTTATAACTACCAAGTTCTACCCATGAACCTGAAAAAATACAAACTTCTAAGCAGTTGGTTTCAGGCTTTGGGGTATGCTGGGGAGTCTTTGAAAGTCGTAGGTTTCCAGGCCCCTCACTTTGCAGCAGTCATGTGTTCCAGAAGTGTTTTCCTGCACTATCATAGAGAAGTAATGTAGAAGCCTAAATTAAATCGTTATCAGTATTACGGCCCCGGTTTTAGTGCACAGTTATGGTATAGGGTACCTAAATAGACTTCAAAATAATGTTGGTACTTCAGGCGCTAAACCCTAAACCCACCTTAAATAACCCTAAACCCACCTTAGCCCGTAAGCCCACCCTAAACCCCAGTAGCTTGTTGCAGGTTTGCCATCCGCATCGGTTCTCAACGGCAAGAACTCTGAGGAGGATGGTCCGGGCCTCGATCCACTGCCTCCCTACAAAGTCTAATTGGGTTTAGGATTTAGAGGTTTAGGGGTTCAGGGTTTAGGGGTTCAGGGGTTTAGGGGTTCAGGGTTTAGGGGTTTAGGGGTTTAGGGTGTAGGGGTTTAGGGTTCAAAGTTTTAGGGTTTAACTCCCCTTAAGAGATTGAATGTGGGGTAATATGAGGTATATTGGGATCCCACTATGATTTTAGGGAATTCCATATTATATCTACTTAAGGGGACTCTACCTCTGGTTAACAAGGAATGAAGCATATAGTAGTTCCCAGAAAATCTCCAACACTATAGTAGTGTCCGTTTTTTCCTCAAGTCTTTCATTCACTGCTAACCACAGCTCCGACGCGATGAAGCTTGTAGTGAGTGGAATCAGGTCATGGCAGCTTAGCCCTAGGCTCTGAACTCGTAATCAGAATATTAGTACCATAAATATAGTAGTAATAGTAGTGAGGCTAATTATTGCAGTGGTAGTAACAGTAATAGTAGTGATACTAGTACTACTAATAGTGGTGCTGTCTGGCTCTGCTGATGTTCCCTCAGAGATCTTTTAGGAATTGCCTAGGCTCTAACCTTGACGAGTAGTAGTGATATGACCAATAGCAGTGCCTTAGTAAGACTAGAATTGGGAGTAATGCCAATAACGGGCTTCTTGTAAGACTGACAGTAGTAAAAGCAATACGATGATAGTGATAATCCTCAACTTGATTTTTTATGCCTCATTTCCCCAAACAACCCTGCAGCGGCCGTGCAGGGAATGCTTTCTACTCTCCATTTACAAGCAGAGAGTAGAGCAGCTAGGAATCTAGGTACGGGACCACTGAATCGATGCACGGGTTGTCTTTCTGTAGTAAGTACTACAGAGTTCAGTGTCGTGATATTCCTGACTAGATGGGAATTAACTTCTCGAGAGACCTCCACTGAAGGTGAAGACGAGCGACAAGGCCTGTTGCCACTCTCGGGCCCAGGGAAGGCGGGCCGGGGTAGCGTTCCAGAACGAGCAAGTAGTCAGATAAAGGCGTATAGAGGGACAGAACGGCGGCGATGGTCACGACCGCAAAGTGGCTTGCTTGGGGCTTCTGAAGGTGTCTGCTTAATGTCTCATTGGGCATGCAAGTCGCCACTGCGGGAACCCCAGTGCCGGCCCCTACCTTGACCCTAGATAGTAACGTCGAGCAAGTGCTCTCATCAGCAGTGTGAAGCTGGAAGCCGAAAGTGCGGGCATCGCAAGACCTTGCTTCAAGGTTCAAGATGATGGTATAAGTGTCAAGGTTGTGTGTCCAATCCAACAGAACTTTCCATCTTGATTGCAACCCCGCTTTGAAGTGCCCAGCATCTTGTATATCACTAAGCCCACGCCACAGCCATTTCGCCCTATACCCTATGACCTATGACCCCAACCTCTAAACCAAAGCCAAACCCGTCAGCTGACCTCCACACCCTAAACCCTAAACGGTCTGAAGCCTGCACCTAAACCCCATACACTCGAAACCTCACCTGACTGGTGGTGAGTAGGGAATACCCGAATACAGCCCCGTGTATCATCCCTATATTAATATGATATACTCCCATAGTCCCTATTATAGCCCCAATATCTACCCCATTATAATATGTCAGTTTCCATTTTCTTTTCCATCATCCCTACATAATTATATCCCTACTAACCCTGGTAAGTCCTTAAACTCCACACCCCAGACCCCAACCCCTAACCCAAATCCCTAAGCCCAGATCCCAAATCCCTAAGCCCTAATTCCTAAACCCAAATTCCAAATCCCTAAACCAAATCCCTAAACCCTAGTTCCTAAACCCAAATCCCAAATTCCTGAACCCAAATCCCCAAATCCCTAAGTCCGAATCCCAAATCCCTAAGCCCTAGTTCCTAAACCCAAATCCCTAAATCCCTAAGCCCAAATCCTTAAGCCCAAATTCCAAATCCTTAAACACAAATTCCAAATCCCTAAACCCTAATGCCCAAACCCAAATCCCAAATTCCTAAACCCAAATCCCTCCCTAAATCCCGGAACAGGTGAAGTTTAAGTTGCCGGAGTGGCCGCTGAGCGGCTCACCTCCCTTGGATCGGAAGCTGCTAACCTTGAAGGCGAGCTCCGTGGGTAATAGGAATAGTACATATAATAATATTAGTGGGGTTCAGGGATATGGGTTTAGAGTTTAGGAATTGGGGTTTGGCAATTTTGGTTTCGGGTTTAGGGATTTGGGTTTTGGAATTTGGGTTTTGGGTTTAGGAATTTGGGATGTCCGTTCAGGAATTTGGGTTTAGGGAGTTGGGTTTGGGGATTTGGGTTTTGCGTTGGGGTGTGGGGTTTAGGGTTCAGGGATGAGGCTGTGGGGCTTTGGGACTGGAATCTCAAATAAAGTCCTAAGTCGAAAGCCTTACACGGGCACGGTCAAGTAGAGTAAAGCGTAGTATGGTAGTGTCAAATGCACTATGCCCCGACTGGTTCAGCCCCTGCAGCTCAAGGGATCTTAACGGTATGGGATTTAAGCTGCGGGGCTTTCTGGTAGTTTCAGAGTAGCTGACATAGCTAGCAAGCTTGGGGCCTTGAGCTGCCAGTTCATCGTGTGGGGTTACTGGCGGTGTCCTTCAAACAAAGGCGTTCATCTTTCGGTTGTTTCCAAAGGCGCATGGGGGACCTCATTTGTGAGATGATCGATTGGAAGCACGGATGCAACAACACAACAAATGCGGCTTGAGTGTCACGTTGACTGCTGGACCACCACAAAGGTGCTGTTGTTGGTAATTAGATGAGGTGGACTGGTCATACTGTATTGACGCTTGCTCAAGCCCGCTCGGGAAGCTATCAGCAAGAAGTACGGTGTGGTCATGCTTATTATGCTGTAAGAGATAGTCACCAAAAAAGGTCTTCCTTACTGTTAAAATAGTCTCTCCTACCCAGCCCCTCAAGTTGTCAAGCCTGTGGATCGAGATGATGCTCCGAACCGGACCCTGCACTGTATAAGTACGCATGTCAAAGTAAGACTTGGAGCGAATTTCCTGCAAGTAAATCTGGATGGACTTGCTTGATTTGTGCGGTGCAGAACTTTCCATAGCAGAATGGTGTATCACAGCATTGCAGCATTACATTGCATGGCGCTGTTGACATTAAAAGCTCACGGAGGAGGCGGAGATCCGGTACAACGATGGGGAGCCTGTCCTGAATGTTGAGGACCTTTTGGCTGATGCTTTGGAGCCTCTAGCAGACGGGAAGAATATGACGTGAGCAGTACCATACCAATGTGCTGAGAGTAGCGCAGGTGTCAATCTTGCAAATGCTGTGCTGCAACCCCGCATGCCTGCATGCCTGCTCCGATCTGTGTGTCACGGATCAAGGAAACTTGCTAGATTTTCTTGCCTTGTCGCCATGGTTTCACTGCTGAGATAATTCATTGTGACGCTGACATGTTGGAGTTCGAAGTGCAGTGTAATACAGTTCCCGGAGAGGTCGTGGCGATCTGTGGTTCAGAGCCACTGGCCTGGGACGCTGCCCAGGCCCAGCCGCTTGACCCCAAGGACTATCCAACATGGCGGGTTCACGTCACAGCACCACAGAAAGATGTGGAATTCAAGTACCTTATTGTAAAAGAAGGTGAGGCCCCTCGACAGCTGGTACGTTGGGAAGGAGACTTCCCCAATCGGAAAGTGCACAGGGACAGCGACGTCGGAAAGCTGGTTCTGCGACACCGTTTTGGTGATGCCACATACGAGTGCAAGGAGCTTGTTCAGGCAAGCGGTAGCCTCCTTGCAGGTGGATATGCGGACGCGCCTACGCTTCCCATAGCAAAGCGTGATGAGGAGGAGGCTGAGCCAGACGACTCAGTTCTTGGAGGCATAGCAGTAGATCCTGCGCTTCGATTGGCTCGCATGGTAAGATCATACTCTGGAACGACCTTCTCCATGAAGTACGATGTCAAGGGAACAGTGCTTGGCACCGGCATGAGTGGCGGGGTCGTCGTGGGAGTCAACAAGGAAACAGGTGTGGAAGTTGCCATCAAGAAGCTTACGTTGCATTCCAATGTGAATCTAGAGCATGTCAAGTCAGAGGTACAGCACCAGTTGTCTTTGGATCATCCCAACATTTGCCGCCTACTCGAAGTGTACGAGGAGCCCGACCGGCTTCTACTTGTCATGGAGAAGCTCAATGGACCTGATTTGTTTGACTGCTTGTCCAAGAAAAGCCGCTACACCGAGAAGGATGCGAAAGAGGTTGTAAGGCAAATCCTTAGCGCCGTAGCATACTGCCACCGCAATGGAGTCTGCCACCGGGACTTGAAGTTGGAGAACTTCTGCTTGGAGGACAAGTCCGAAAATGCTAGGATCAAAATGATCGACTTTGGCTTGAGCTCCTCGTTCGATGAGTCTCTTCCTATGACCGATTCCTGTGGAACTCTCTATTATGTGGCGCCAGAGGTTCTGCGAGGCAAGTACAACCAGCAGTGCGACATGTGGTCGCTGGGTGTTCTTACCTATGTCCTCCTCGATGGCAGGGCTCCTTTCATGGGCCGTGATGACCGCAGGAGCTAACTAGTAAGGCATTCAAGTCATGATCACTACCTTTTCATCCATAGTCCCCATTTGCTACCAGTCTTTTCAAGAGATTTCAGTAGTGCCAAAGCACTTACCAGCGCAGGACCTACAGACTCATCCTCGAGGGTCAGTACAGTTTCCCTGAGAGTCGGTGGAGTCGCATCTCCGATGATGCCAAGGCAGGATCAGGCTAAACACATCTCGAGTTTGTATTGCCTGCTGCAAGCATGTGCGGGATGTGTTGAAGGGCCTTGTTCCAGCTTTGTACGAGTTATCTTGTTCGAAAATATAGCCGGCTTATCACGCTATCCAAATTCAGAGTCAGTTCATCGCACTTGGACGTTTCAAAGCAATTCCTACACTTCGGCACAGATGCCGCCAAGGAGCAGTAGTAGTAGTAGTAGTCGTCGTCGTCGTCGTCGTCGTCGAAGTAGTAGTAGCAGTAGCAGCAGAAGTAGAAGTAGAAGTAGTCGTCGTCGTCGTCGTCGTCGTCGTCGTCGTCGTCGTCGTCGTCGTCGTCGTCGTCGTCGTCGTAGTAGTAGTAGTAGTAGTAGTAGCAGTAGCATAGGAGTAGGAGGAGGTGTTGTTGTTGTTGTTGTTGTTGTACAGTGGGCCAACACTTCCCTCTTAAACACAGGATTTGAGCCCGCATGGTCCAGCACTATGTATCTCAAGCACACTTCAACCGCTGAAAGACTTCCCCCTGCCAAACCCTCCGCCAAGGATTTTGTCTCCAAGCTGCTGCAGGTCGACCCAACCGTAAGGATGACGGCAGAAAAGGCATTGGTACATTCATGGCTGACAAGCAAAGACCCTCAAGATGAGGACGGGGCAGCACCAGGACCTGCACTCGACGCAGACGTGCTAGATGGCCTCAAGGCATTCACGCGCGGCAACGCTGCTAAGCGGGCTATGCTACGTGCCATGGCCCCATCAGCCTCTGTAGACGAGGTGAGTCGATGGGCTGACCAGTTCGAGGCCTTTGACAAGCAGGGGACGGGGAACGTTAAGGTCTCTGACCTTGTGCAACGCTTGGTCACACGTGGGTTGGCTAGTGCATCAGAGGCTGAGGAGATCTCGAATAGCCTTAAGACGCTGGCAGACAGTTCTCAAGAGATCTCATACTCGGCATTCCTCGCTGCTTGCTTGTGTGCACACCATTCGAACATGGAGGAGAAGCACTTGAAAGAGCTCTTCTCAAAGTTAGACAAGGACAAGGATGATCGTGTCAGTGTAGAAGAAGTCGGGAAGGCTCTAGGTGGTGTAGTGAACGTCGAAGCCCTAGAGGCAGAGATGTGTGGAAGAGCTTTGTCCTTTGCAGATTTCCAGTGGCTACTTCAAAGACCTCTCGCTCCATCCTCCATGGCTGGACTTCGTCAACTCCTGGGCACTTTCAAAAATCTGGGCCTGGCAAAGAGCTGGCGTGTCGACACGGTCGCTGCCAAAGCCGCCAAGGATGGTGATGATGCCCAGTTTGTCGCTGCAAGGCGCGAGAACGCTGCCTGGCGGCAGTGGCACCGTCAGCGTGCGCGCGGTGAGGTCCCAAATGATGCCCCCGGGGCCGAGAGCCACCCGGCTGAGAGCCAGCTCGACAAAAGCAAAGCAATGTCACCAAAAAAGCTGCTCCTAGAAACTGGACCGCTCCCTGTCCCTGGCAGCAAAGCACCTAGCAGCCGCGGTGAGATCACACCTCGAGACGACCCCTTGCCTGACGCTCAGGATGCAAAGGATGGCTTGAAAGAGGTGCCAGATGCCGCGGACCGAGAGGAGCTGAAGGCCCAATGGGCCGTGGCCACAGTAGAGGCCAAGGATGGCGACATGGATGCCGCACGGCGTGAAAACCGTGCATGGCGGATGATGAACATGGAAAGGGCAAATGCAGGACAAAGTCCTGAATCGGACCCCGCCTCGGGCTCATAGGTTTGCAGCAGCAATACATGCGAAAAAAATCTGGCCTTGCACATTGCTGTTGCTTTAGTTTGCTTCTGAGTTGGACTCTGGTCCAGTCAACCAAATAGAATCCAACCAGCATATGATGAACCTAGATCCAGACTACCCATATGGGAACCATGTCCGGCCCCAAGTATATACTCTACATTACTTGAGGCCCTTTGGGCTATAAGGGCGCAGGTCTTGAGTGGTCATGAGCGGGCTATGACATCCTCGGGGCTTGACCGCTGAAGCAGGTGCCACATGATAGTGACTGATGGTGAGAGCCGAAACAAACTTGTCACTGTGTTTGAGTAGTGGTCCTTGGATGCTAGTGAGGAACAAAGCAAATGTTGCCAGAAGAGATTTCTTCAGATCATGCATGTCGTGTAGAAGTTCAGAGATGCCGGCACCCCTTCTCATTGCCAGAGCCACCCAAAAAAGTCCTCAAGAAGGGTGAGCAGCAAGGAATGTGCAATTGGGGACTGGCAGTGCTGCTGCCAGATGCTGCTGCATGCTGCCAGGCGTCGTACTGCTGCTTCTATTCATCCCCTACTAGCAATGCATCTTCTTCTACTGCCTCGTCTACTAATACTCACCGTTACATCATACGTACCCACGGGCGTGAGACAGTGTATCACCATATCCTTTTACGAAAGGAAGATCCCAAGTTGCGAGCATCTAATTTCTTATAGTCTTTTATAAGCACCGGTACATGTATGCACATATGTATGTGTATGTATGTGTATAGAAAGCATCTCTTGATATGCCTGCCTAGTTTCCACTACTAAGCCCTTTCCCAGGAGTTCGTGGTGTCGGCAGGGCAGCGACTGGCCTTGCTCGGCCCCAACGGCTGCGGGAAGACTACGCTTTTGCGCTCGTTGGCCGGGAGGCTTGAGGCGGGATCCCTCAGGGTTTATAGGGAGTTCAGGGTTTATAGGGTCTGTAGGGAGATTAGGGTTTATAGGGTTTATAAGGTTTATAGGGTTTAGGGTTTAGAGTACTGCAGGGTTATTAGGGGTTCACATAATCAAAGTGGAAACGACCACCTTATTTAGGGCGTAGGGTCTACATCTAACCCCGATTACCTACAGTTCAATGGGTCACTTATTGACTGGGGGCAATCAGTATTAAACTGTGGTTAATTGGGGTTACAGGTTGGGTTTAAGGTTAGATAAGATTCCTTGGTTTCCGGAATGTGAGTGTCTCTTGGAATTATGAACCCACTGTTGAGGGTTCTTCTTTTAAGGATGTGTTCCGCCATGGGGGGCTGTGCTGGGGGACCCATGGCTCGAACAAATAACCCTGTGCCCACATAAATGTACATCAGGTTAAGCATCATGCGGAAATGAAAGGTTAGTCTCAACGATAAAGAGGCATAAACGTCATATTATACGGTTGACTTTGGGCCTTCGAAAAGGATTGTGGGGATGGTGGGGTAGGGCTTTGGCAGTTTTTGCAGGGATTCCTAGCAGCGTAGAAGCCTGTTATGCAGGGACTGGCATAAGGATCGGCTATAGCTATAGGGGTTCCTTAGCAGCTGACTCGTCGTTTGTAGAAGGAGTTGTCTCAGATGTGCCGGAGTCATATACGGCTGTCGTATGCATTCGTTAAGGTATGCTGGAGGCTTTGGTGGCGATTCTAATTTATAGGAATGGCCATGAATGTTGCAATCATGAATCATGAAGGGAGCAGACACCCCCAAACCCCAAGCCCCAAATCCTAACCTGGGATCAAACTCCAAATCATGCAGCCATTTGCATCCCAAACCTCGCCGGATGAAAGCAGGCACTGAAAAAAAGAAACTAAGTCCTACATCCTAAGCTCCAAACCTTAAACCCTGTCCCAGACCCCTAAAGGATCCAACAAATAGAACCCCTTAAAACAACCTATAGTTTCCCCAATGTAGTAATGGGTTCATTTTGGGGGGGTTCCATTTTGTTGGATCCTTTTTGGGGTCTGGGGTGCTACCTAACATTAGGTGGAGGCTGGCTCTCGCATCCTCGGGGTAGGGGGTTTGCGCCGCGCCCGCGTGGCTTTCTTCACGCAGGATTTGGCCCAGGCAGATTGTGGGGATCCTTTCGCGTTTAGGATTTAGGGTTTAGGGTTAAGGGTTTAGGATTCAGGGTTTAGGGTTTCTGATTCAGGGCTTAGGGGGGAGGATTTAGAATTCTGAGGCCTAAACCCTAAATCCTAAACAGTAGTTTCCATTTTCTTTTCCATTAAACCCTACATAACCCTATATACTATTTGGCAGTTTCCCTTTTGCGTTGCTTTATACCCATATATACTCGGCCATGTGGTAGGGATGGACTTGGGGATGCGAGGGCATAATCGTATGACAGCAACAGTTCTACTGTTTCCATGTTCTTTTCCATTCTCTCTATACGAAAATGTAAGGCATATGGGGGAACAGAGGGGATATAGGGATAGTGAATCACTTGCACTGGCCTTCGACCCCCCAATTAGGCAGTACGGCGCGAGCCGCCAAGCAGAGTTCATGGTACTGAATTGCGGATAGATTTGGGCATGGTGTCCTGCCTAACTGTCCTCAAACACAAGATGTGAACAGCCTGCGGGGTTGGGGATTTGTGCTAAACTTCCCAGGCTCTTCTGGTTTGCTCGTGTGCGCTTAAGAGCAGTGTTTCTACGTCACCCAGACTTGGGTGTTTACCAAAAAATGGGGGTACTCTTTGTGGGTCCCGATAATGCGAGCTATAGTCTACTATAGTATATTCGGGTCTATATGGGGCTACCCAAATTTTGGGAAACTACCACTTGAGTTTAGGGTTGTCCATGGCAGGCACTTTGAGAACACTCTAAGGAAGAAGCCCCAAGGACAACAGCTTCAATCAGGCCTTCAAACCACTCTGTCCGTTCGCAAGTAGAGTCCCCCTTAAGTGGATAGCATATGGAATTGCTCAATATCATAATAAGATCCCAACATACCCATACTCTATGTATTCAAGGTGGGGCTAGAATATTAAGATACTAATTGATCTTTGAACCTCCTTGAAACTTGAAAGGCCCTTCAGTCCCATACGGATTCCTGGAGCTCTTTTGCTGAGAGACTCCTGAGTCCGTCAGATTTCTTCCTTTGCGCATGGCCAGCCAGCGAATGGAAAACCTTTGCGAAAGATTGCTTGTAGACAAACCCGAGCTGCAGATGTTACACAGGAAGCTTCAGACGGCCTCACTTCCTGAGACACTGTTCATGCCAAAGGCTATGACTATGAAGCACTGCCACACTGATCATGTCGTCGATCAGACCTTTCACAGCAAGCAAGCTGCTCGACAAAGGCTTGCAAAAAGACATCCTTCCCTATGACCCTAACAGACCGTAAATGATAGTGGCCGGACAGCTCCACGCCCTACGTTAACTCCTAAGGAAGCCTTTTAATGCAGGTTCCTCAAAATGATCCCACGACATTCTCAAGGCGACCCTACCACCTTCATCCTAACTCGCCAGTAGATCCAGGACCTCCCCGGCGACATCACGCCAGTGGAGCATGTCCTGGGAGACGACGCGCCAATAACACTGGACACTGAGGGGGCTCGTGCTGCGTGTGGGGCTGAGGTGGTTTGGGTTTCGTTTCAAGGTTAGGCACTTATGCAAAAGCCGTCCATTTTCGGTAGGTTATTTGCGCTTTTGGCTTTTGGGGCGGGCTGGATATTTAGTTATCACAGAGAGCTCCCAAAAGTGGGCTCCCACAACCCCCCATGCCGAGCTCGCATAACTAATTACTACTTACCCTTTTTTCGTCCCCCTTATGAGAAGCGTATATGGATCCCCTAATTGCCCTCATCATCTCTGTAATTTGAAAAACCGCTGCAACAATGTTATTAGAGGTTCTGTGTTCATCGCCTAGCCCGTACACATGCGACCCCCATTCCCATGATCGAGGCCCACCCATACTACAACATAATATGCAGGAGAATGCATACGAACGTTATAAGTTCTGTTTGCATCACCTTGCCGCACACACCTGTTACCTCATTCCCATGACCGAGGGTTTGTTAGGGAAGGAAATGCTGTGTTTCTTCCATAGGGGGACCCCAATTTAGACCCCAAAATGCTATAGTAGTCCTTATTATGGGCACCCCCAAATTCAAAAGGACCCCCGAATATTATATACCCTATATACTACCCTATATAATGCGATTCTCCATTTCATTTTCCATTTTCTTTTCCATTTGATTCTCCATTATTGGGGTAATATTGGGTACCAAGCCTTGTCTTCAAATAGGGGGACCCCAATATAGACCCAACATACTATAGTCCTTATTATAGGGACCCCCAAATTCAAAAGGACCCCAAATGATATTACATACCCTATATACTACCCTATATAATCCCATTTTCCATTTCATTTTCCATTTTCTTTTCCATTTGATTCTCCATTATTGGGGTAATAGCCCTATATACCCCCCTAAATCCTAAACCTTAAACCCTAAACCCTAAACCCCTAAATCCTAAACCCTAAACCCTAAACCCCTAAATCCTAAACCTTAAACTTAAAACCCATTGGGTACCAAGCCTTGTCTTCCTCTGAGGCTCGGCGCACTAGGTCTGAGAGGAGCTTGTCACAATGCACCCATCAAGACCCTGAGTGGCGGCGAGTACCTGGGTTACGTTGTTGGGGCTGAGGGGTTAGGGCTCGCGTTTTCGGGTTTGGGTCTCAAAATGGCGATTCTTTTTTGCGCGGCCTCAACATCTGGATTGCATGTTTTGAGGCTTTCGAGAACAAAATTTTGAGAAATGGCCACATATTCGTCCGAAGGTTTGTGGAGCTTAGTTCGCCCTTTTACGCCTTGCTCACCTGCTCATGAAGAGTTTTGGCCAAAAGCCTTTTCTCATACCTTCCGAGGCGCTAACGTATACCTTCCCGCAAGCAAATATGAAACCCCAGAGTGGCAGTCTTGTTCTTGTTTCAAGACTACAAGCTCAGTAGTCTCCATACGACCCCGCTTGGGGTTCCAACTCGCATTCAAAAAAATGTTCTACTTCCAGGTTCATGGATAAGTCTCAGTTGAGCCTGCTTATGCTTCTGCCCGCATTGTCCACTGCTGATCCCTCCATATCCCTGTCCCTCACACCCCACACTTAAGAAAGCATGGTACTGTTGTTGACCCCAAATAGACCCCAAAATACTACAATCCTTATCAAGGGGACTTCCCAGAAAGGTGCCCCTAGTTTTGGGAAACACTAGTCCCTATACCCCATATACCCCCAGTTTCCATTTCATTTTCCATGTTCTCTTCTATTTGATTCTCCATTATTGGGGCAATATCCTTATCCTTACATATCCCCTAGTTTTAGGGAACCATACAAACCTTTATATAACTTCTATAAACCCCTTCAAAAGGGACCCCTAGTTTTGGGAAACCCCAGACAGATATTCAGGAAGGCGCGGGTCGCCCTTGCCGTCTTTGCCACGCGGCCTGCAGATGTGCTCTTGCTGGACCCTGGGTACCCTGGGTAGTTCGCAAAATTATGGGCCCCTTTTTGGCGACAGGCTAGATTATGGCACCTGATATTTAGGGGCACCAAAAAGGGACCCTGATTTTGGGAACCTTGGGTGTTTGATGCATAGGGACCACAAGAGGTAATGGGAAGTATATATTAGGGGCCTTATATATTCCTGGTTTACAACTGTTAGTGGCCGGGGGCCCAACCCAAGAGATGCATCATGTCAAAAGGCAGCAAAAATGGTGCTGTCGATGGTGCTTTCACAATTCCCATACATGTGAGGTGGCCGAGGCTTCATGACATCCCGTGGCATGAACATTTCAGAATGAGTTCAGTAACATTTTGGAAATTGGAAATTGGGAGTAGCGCAGAAGAGCCTGATCCGTTGGCTTGGCATGTTGAGGGCAATGAACTCTAAGCTAGGAGCCGAAGAGTGTAGGAATAACCCAGGTTCGGGCCTCCCGAAGGTTAATGCTAAGCTTTGAGGTTGTTCTTGCTTGTTTGACGCTCAGTCAGCCTGGCTCACCAAACTTCTGCTCTGTACCCTAAACCTTTGAGTTTCCAAGCCCTTCTAAGCCCTTGATTGCGAGCCTTTGTATCCCATGTCGGCCTTACACAAGTACCCGACCTTAGCAGGTTAGTCGTCCTTTCCTACAAAAAGGCCTACTTAATTGTTCTGCTCCTATGTACCGTGATCCGAGCTTTGAGATGTCTTGAGAAACTCGTACATTGCTAACCTGACTGGTTGCTATTAAGGACTGGAGGAACGGATTCCATATAGTAGCCCCTCTAGAATCTCACAATTATACAATAGTTCCCATGTTCTTTTCCCCTCCTTCACCAGCCAGTACTTACTCACTGCTATGGATACATTAGGAGGACCACCACCCTGTAAGAGTGGTATATGTAATAGGCATATAAGAGGACACTAATATAGTCACCATTATCCCTCACTGTTACCGGGTGGGAGGTCCACCTAAACTAACCCTAAACCCTAAATCCTAAATTGTAGCTTCCATTTTCTTTTCCGTTATCCCTACATAACCCCAATATGAAATTCTTACTATACCAGTATCACAGGATGGGGGCCCGCCTAATGGATACTTCCAATACAGCCCCAATACATATTCTATTGTAATGTGGTAGTTTCCATTTCCTTTTCCATTTTCCCCATACAACCCACTAAACCCTAAAACCTAAACACTAAACCCTAAACCCTATATTATACAGGACGAGCCCACCAACCACTTGGATGGCGCAGCCGTCGCCTCACTGTGTGCCGGGCTTCGCGAACATGGCGGTGCCGTCACATGCCCGGACTTCAACTTTAGGGTTTAGGGTTGAGGGGTTAGGGTTTAGGATTTAGCGTTTAGGGTTGCTATATTATTTGCTCATAATTGAAAATTGAATGGAAAAGAGAATGGACATGAAATGGAAACTGGAGGAATATAGGGATTGAAGGGACTTAATAGCAGTTACTCTGTTGCGGAAACCTTATTAATTACTATGTATACTCATTATGGTAACTAAATGTAAACTCGTGAACAGCAACCCGGTCAAAGTTCTTCCAGAAGTTAGGGGTCTCGTCTGGGGCGCCAATAGCATGAAGGATGAACACTTCTTCCAATCTAGGGGTTCCCGGAAATTAGGGGTCGATTTTCGCTGTGCCTAGAATGTTAGAGATTTTTTTTTATAGCAGCTTGGGGTTAATATAATAAGTATAGGGCTCCCCTACCTGTGGAAACCTCAGGTTGTCTTGCCAGGGGCCTAGTATTTATTTAAGCAGATTGGGGACACTAATTTTCAGACAATTTCAGACCTGCAGATTTCGAGGGACTACCTTTTGGCCATCACCTGCTCTTTTGAAGGCATGTTGGTTACGCATGATTCGCATCGGTTGCCTGATTGCGTCATGGACCTTTGGAGTTAGAGGGATGCCTTCAGTGACCAAGACCAACAGGTAGGTAATCTCTGGCGCAAGCTTAATCTGAAAACGGAGATTGGGAATCACCTCGGCAAGCTTGCCCCAATTTGTCGAGGTCCTGGTCTCGTCCCACGACAAAGCCTTCCTTGAAGCCTTAAGCGTGACAGATCAGGCGCGCACTGTAAGCTGTCCCAATGGCTTATTCCTCTCGGTATTGGGGAGTGGGGGGTCCTAAACGGTGCTTGTGCGTGAGGTGTTTGATTTAAGGGATTTTTGCTTCGAGGCACATGGAGGCTCTAGGGGGTATCTTAAACAAGGAGTATCGTATCTTGGAGTTTGTTTCCTGTTTCTGGTAACCTCCATATAAACGAAGATCAAGCCAGGTGCACATCACACGCACGGACGTGGGTGAACCAGGCCGCCTGCAGGTCTCTCCGCTGAAGATTAGTACCTTCCGCCCGCAACAACCTAGCAGTCGCCATTCCCTTCTTGCAAAAAGAGTGCTGTGCATGATCGCTTTCTGAAGAAGATCGAACATTTTAAGACCAGCTAACCTTTGGAGAAGGCTGCACAAGGTGCAGCGGGTTCGCTGACCATTGAGGCATATTGGAGGCTCTCAAGTCGGATGTGTCAAGCTCGGTGGTTGGCCCATCTGGAGTCCTCGAACAAAACGAGAATGCTTGATCCTCAAGTCGGAAAGCACTTTTCCGCTTCAGGGCCCAGCACCCGCTGACTGTCTCGCCTCAGAGGTTTCCAGCTTCTATAAGGATTTCTGGGGTATGCGGTTCCTTGACCCAGCAAGGCTTCCGGATGCTGATAAACAAGCTGCCAAACAAGGTGATTCACGGCCCAGTGGAGTGACTTGGCCGAAGTGAGGCATGGAAGGCAAAACCAAAGTCTGAACTTCTGGGTTTGCCTTCTGTTGGCAATCCTTGGCTTTTCTAGAGGAGTCATGCAAAGCGGAGCATAATCATGGACATGCACTCAGCACTGGCAGCAGCTCCTATATGAACCGGGCCTAGAACAGCAAAGAAGAGATCGGATAACGCAGGGCATTCCTGCAGTCATCGGCATTGGAATTTCTGTGGTCCTGCGGAAGTTGGGAAATGCTCGGGGCCAAAGGATTGCTCCGGCTCCAAGCCCAGGCACTCAACTTTATCTATCCTGCACTGCGAAGTCCTGGACAACACCTAAGTATGGAATTATGAGTCCCTAGTCTGGGCCTGTAATCCTGGGGTCCTTATATACTTATATTATATAATAATTACCCTGCAAACCCAATTGAGGGCCGACAGTTGGGACCTCAGAAACAGGCAGGGGCACATGGTTAGAGCCTCAGACTATAGTATGTGCGTTGATCTGGTAGTTTTCGACTTATGTTCCATTATGACTCCCAACAATGCAGTAGCTTCCAGTTACCAAAGTACCTTTGACCGTAAACCCTGAGCCCTGAGAACCTTAGACAACCTCGCACGCACCTCCCAGGCGCCCGCTTGGAAACAGCAGCGCGCCTGCCTCCGCTCCGGCCGGGGCATCGGCTCATGTGGCCAGCGTGGAAGCACCAGGCACTGGCAAGAGGGGAGGAAAAGTTCCCAGAGGAGGGACTCCATGAATATCATACGTGGTTTTAGGTGTTTACGATTGCGGGTTTAAGGTCTAACATTATAGAGAATATTGTGTTTGTCATTCTCACTGTAGTTCAGTACTGGTGTATTGGTACCCTTACTATCCTCCTCATACTCTAGATATATTCCATTCCTTGTGCTTCTGAGTTGATGTGCGTTTTTGTGTCTGCAAAAATCCGAAAGCTTTGTGTGCAGGCCCTGCCAAGGCTGCTCCAAAACCCACCGCCGACAAGGCTGTGGCACTTAGTCTTCGGGGTCTTCAGGTTTCCGTATGGTAGTTCCCCAAAAAAGGGGGCCCCAATATGGACCCCACTAGATTTTCATCCGTATTATGGGCACGCCCAAAAAGTATCCCTAATTTTGGGAAGCCCCCGTATACATTACGCAAAAACCTGTACACATGGGCAAGAAGGAGCTACGTATGGTGTAGAGGGATGCTGGAGCCGTTCAGATATATCCACGCGGAGCGTTTTGGCGTTGCGTGTGGGGCGTCCCAGTCAGCAATTGAGTGCAAGAATGCTGCATCTTGATACGGGCTTTCCTGAAACACCGTGCAAAACTTGCAATGTGGCAAACTTTGCCAATTGGCGTGTCATCTTGACACATCATTAAGTTTAACAGTGCGCGTTGGTTGACACGCCTTTGACATTTGCAAGTATCCTGAGACCTTATGGGGGTGTCCATCAACAGGGGGCCCCAATACGGAGCCAAATATGTCACAATCCTCATCATGGGACTCAAAAGAGGGACCCGGAATTTCCAGAAGCCCACACACGGCATCGATACCATACACTCAACCATCCTGAACCCGAAACTCTAAACACTGAACCCTGGTTCCTGGACCCTAAACCCCTGAACACCTAAACCTGAACCCTAAGCCCTGAGCCCTAAACCCTATACCTTGAACCCTGAACCCTACGGAACCACCCGAGGCCAAGTTGCAACGAAAGATTTCCAGCGCCGAAGCCCCAGAGATGCATCGATGCTCCATGAAACGTTAGGTCCCTTTTTAGGGTTTAAAGTTGCTGTTAAGGAACTTACATTAATCAACCAGAATATGGGTATATAGCAAAGAATAGGGTCTCCCTTCTATAGTAATTTAATTAAAGTTCCTCACCCGCAACCCGGCTTAAAGGGGTCATAGGGGTATATGCGGGGGTTTCCAAGAAGTAGGGTTCCCTTGTTGGGGTCCCCATAATAATGAGGATTAGAGTATAGTGGGGTCTACATTGGGGTCC